AGGGTGGCCGGACCGGTCACTAGCCGGGGTGGCGGTGAAGTAGCCGCAGGGTGGCCGGACCGGTCGCTAGCCAGGGTGACGGTGAAGTAGCCGCAGGGTGGCCGGACCGGTCGCTAGCCAGGGTGGTGGTGATGTAGCCGCAGGGTGGCCGGACCGGTCGCTAGCCGGGGTGGCCGTGAAGTAGCCGCAGGCCGGCCGGACCGGTCGCTAGCCAGTGCCTAGTTAATTGCACCCCCGTCTAGCTACATCCAACCAGCAACTATCTTCAGTCAGTGCAACGGTCTTTAGCTGCCTGGGGCTAGCAATAATTGCAATCTGTGAGCCTGATTCTGCTATTCCATCTGAAGCCAGTCTGGGGTTCTATGCATGGAAATCCTGCCGGATCTGTCCCCTTGCTAGCCACAATCCAACAGGCAGATTGCCTCACTGATTCAGGCTTTGTAGCTAACAAGGTGGACAAGCCGGTCAGGTCTCCAGACTACTCTTTGTTTGATTTTCCTTTTGACAACAGAGCACAGAGCTTTAAAGGACAGTAAACGATGCACAATGGGGAGCAGGTGGAGTCTAAGGAGGCAGTGGAAAGCCAAATGCTGATATAAGTCATCTACTGCCGGTATTTTTAAGGCCCCCATCAATCACTTTGATGTCTAAGCCCCAGTAAGTAGTAAGTAATAATCCTCGGCCCTTCTCTCCTCCATCCCCGGACCAAAGAGCCCTTTGCGAACAATAAAACCTCACAGGCCGCCTTCCCCAGGCGAGGCAGGCCCTGAGCCAGCCACTTGGCGGAACTGATCTGATGGAAGGAAGGAAGCGTAGCATTCAGATAGCCAGGGCCAGGTGTGCCAATGTCAAGGATGGAAGTGAAGATCTTCAGAGCTAAACCCCTGGGCTGCTACAGCCGGTGCTGAAGACCTGCTGCTGGGACTTTACCATACTCCCCGCGGTGGGTCAGGTGGGATACGTAGGTGACATTGACCGGTAGGTCACACAGACCAGGCCCCAGAGCCTCCATATACACACGGAGGTTCGCTCCATGGCTCCAGACAGTCTTTGCACATGAATGAGAGATGCTAGGAAATAAAATGTCTCCTGATTTCCCACGGGAGCCTCTTAACCCAGCAAGGACTGTAGAGTGCTTTGCCTCACCCTGGGTGGCCGTGAGGAGTTAATGGGACGCAGCGCAGAAGAATCTGCTAAGCGACTAGCCAGGTATTTGGGAGGAGAATGTTTCTAAGGGCTACCTGGCTCCCCCATTCCCACCTACTGGTTTCTTGATCTTCTTTAAAGGGCTGTGTTCAGCTCCTGGAAGAGAGGCGGGCAAGGGGGAGGAATTGGGAGCAGCTGCCAAGCCGGCCATGGAGGCAGCTACGTTGAAATGCACTAGCCTGGCGTAGAGTTCCCTACATTATTGCTAACAAGGGCTGGTGAACATTCATGCGCACAGTGAAAAGCCTATAGTTGAGCCAGGCTTGAATTGCTAAAACACAGCTCCAGGACTCCCCCTGCTGGGCGAGCGAGGGGTGTGTATTCCTGGCGGGATAAAACAATTATTCCTGTGTAGTAGCCGGATTTTATGTTTGTATTTTATATCATTTAAAATGAAGAATAAAGAACAACAATATAGTACGTACTAAATGCATTGGTGTATGATTTGATTATATTCTGCCAGCTACTTTCTTTGAATGAA